GGAAGTGGAATAGCTTAGCAAGTGACGCAGTGGTGGCAGGAGCCATTCATAGCTAGTAAAGGGTTAAGAGGAGGTATGACAAAGCTCAGGAAGCAGGGAGAGAGAGGATCTAGAAGCGATCAGTGAAGAGGCGGGGCCATGAGCTGAGCCTCGACCACTGCAACCACAATTAGGTGACTACAATTAGGTGAGTACCCATATAAGAGTGTTGGTACAACTACACTCTCATACTTTCCCTTCTTTGCCTCCATAGATAAAGTTTTTCGTCTCCACATATAACAACGCACCATTCACTTCTTCCATACTCCTCCTCTGCAATTTGATATCAAATTTTTCTTTATCTAAATCAGTTGATACCCTCATCACTTTACTCTTTTCTTTGTTCACTTTCAACTTTCTACCTTCACACACTTTCCCAAACTCGTCAACTAACCTTTGCCATTTTCCTTTAGAATCTCCCATAAGCACAGTATCATCAGCAAAAAGTAACTGTGTCAATTCCCATTTTGCATTTGATTCCCCATAATTTAACCCCACCCCTCTCCCGAACACCCTAGCATTTACTTCTTTTACACCCCATCTATAAATATATTAAACAACCATTGTGACTTTACACATCCCTGTCTAAGACCTACTTTTACCGGGAAGTATTCTCCCTCTCTTCTACACACCCTAACCTGAGTCTCACTATCCTCATAAAAACTCTTTAAAGCATTTAGTAACTTACTACATATTCCATATACTTGCAACATCTGCCACATTGCTCCCCTATCCACTCTAACATATGCAATGAAAACTTCTCTACCTTTATCTGAATACTGTTCACATATATGCTTCAATGTAAACACTTGATCTACACATCCCCTACCCACTCTAAAACCTTCTTGCTCATCCTCAGTCCTACTCTCTGTCTTACCTCTAATTCTTTCAATAATAACCCTACCGTACACTTTTCCTGGTATACTCAGTAAACTAATTCCTCTATAATTTTTACAATCTCTTTTGTCCCCTTTGCTTTTATATGATGGAACTATACATGCTCTCTGCCCATCCCTAGGTACCTTCCCCTCTTTCATACATTCATTAAACAAAAATACCAACTACTCTAACACTACATCCCCCCCCCCTCCGGCTTTTAACATTTCTGTCACAATCCCGCCAGTTCTAGCTGCTTTACTCCGTTTCATTCTGCATAATGCCTCACGCACCTCCCGCACACTCACATCCTGCTCTTCTTCACTCGTAAAAGATGGTATACCTCCCTGGTCAGTGCATGAAATTACCGCCTCCCTTTCTTCGTCGACATTTAAAAGTTCCTCAAAATTTTACCGCCATCTACCCAATACCTCCATCTCCCCATCTACTAACTCCCTTTCTCTGTTTTTAACTGACAAATCCATTTGTTCCCTAGGCTTTCTTAACTTGTTTAACTCACTCCAATTTTTTTCTTATTTTCATCAAAATTTCTTAACAGTTCCTCTCCCACTCTATCATTTGCTCTCCTTTTGCACTCTCTCACCACTCTCTTCACCTTTTTTTTACTTTGCATATACTCTGCTCTTCTTATTTATTTCTTACTGAATTCCCGTGACATTCAGATTCATTATTTACTCTTCTTTTAATAATACAAATAAGGTACAAATATACATTATCTGTATCACTGAGATTCTTGTGCATCGTGAAGTAACTATATTATACGAATATTTCGCCCACTATAATAAGGTATGCATAATAACACTAGAGATACAGAGATCACACCGTTATACATAGTAACACCATAAATAAATACATCACACTGTTATATACGTAAACACAGAAAATACAATGACGACGATGTTATGTACAGAAACATGCATAAAAATGTATTAACAAATCAAAACCATGACACATAGAGAGAAGAATAAAATTTAAAATAATTGGTCTCTCCATGGTGGACTGACCGGAGGGGAAGTTCTTTTTTGTCTGGATTACGGTACGAGACTACCCGGGTGGATGTATTTACAGGGCACAGATTTCTGTGTATCCCTCTCTGTAATTACATCTGTCTACATATAAGAATATTAAAACATGTGTTCTAATATCATATATGGGTAGTGTTCCATGGTGAATGCTACATTTGAAGAGTTAAGTTCCTCTTTGAGGAAATGCTGTGTTTGGGGCTCACAGCTCTCAACGTCCCCCTCAAATGTTAGAGTTCCTTTTCTCCATTTATTTTAATGATTTGAAAAGATTTTGCTATCCGAGTGTGTATGAGTGAAAAACACATTGTACCATAATATTGAATACAAGTCACTGAAAAGTTGAAGTACTTGATTTTACTCTCAGATTTTTTAATATCCAAGACGCCACTTTGTGCACCTTCATTTGTATTGTGCCTCGCATGTTCACCTCTAGTTCTACCTTACACATCCACCTATAGTTCATCTTATATGTTCACCTCTAAATAATTATGAGATACACTCAAGTAAATATAAATTAGCAATAAAAGTATTTAATCAACGACCTCTGCAATAAACAACATTAATGTTGTATTTCAGTGGTATTTAATACCGAGAAGATGATGAATTAGACACAAATGCAACATCTGGATTTCTCAGTACATAATATGAAGACTGTAGAAATACATACAGTAGATAGTGGAAGATTAGGAAATCAGTCCCTCGGTTTTTGTATTCATAAAGCCACTGAATGGCGAAATGTCTACAATTAAAAATTCCCAGATGTTGTGGGTGTGTTTAATTACCTGGAGGTTACCTGGAGGTTATTCCGGGGATCAACGCCCCCGCGGCCCGGCCCACGACCAGGCCTCCCGATGGATCAGGGCCTGATCAACTAGGCTGTTACTGCTGGCCACACGCAGTCCAACGTACGAGCCACAGCCCGGCTGATCCGGCACTGACGTTAGGTATCTGTCCAGCTCTCTCTTGAAGGCAGCCAGGGGTTTATTGGCAATTCCCCTAATGCTTGATGGGAGGCTGTTGAACAGTCTTGGGCCCCGGATACTTATGGTGTTTTCCCTTAGTGTACCAATGGCGCCTCTACTTTTTATTGAGGGCATTTTGCATCGCCTGCCCAGTCTTTTACTTTCGTAAGGAGTGATTTCTGTGTGCAGATTTGGGACCATTCCTTCCAAGATTTTCCAAGTATAGATTATGATATATCTTTCCCTCCTGCGTTCCAATGAGTACAAGTCAAGTGCTTCCAAGCGTTCCCAGTAGTTAAGGTGCTTGACAGAACTTATGCGTGCAGTAAAGGATCTCTGTACACTCTCTAGATCTGCGATTTCACCTGCTTTGAATGCAGATGTTAATGTACAGCAGTATTCCAGCCTAGAGAGAACAAGTGATTTGAGAAGGATCATCACTGGCTTGGCATCTCTCGTTTTGAACGTTCTCATTATCCAAACCTTCATTTTCTTTGCACGTGCGATCGTGGCACTGTTGTGATCCTTGAAAGTGAGATCCTCAGACATTACTACTCCCAGGTCCCTTACATTATTTTTCCGCTCTATTGTATGGCCAGAGTCTGTAGTATACTCTGTTCTAGTTATTATCTCCTCCAGTTTTCCATAACGGAGTAGTTGGAATTTGTTCTCATTGTACATCATATTGTTTACCGTTGCCCACTGGAAAACTTTGTTTATATCTTCTTGGAGGTTAACCGCGTCCTCAGCAGATGACAGCCTCATTGAGATCCTAGTATCATCCGCAAAGGATGATACGGTGCTGTGATGTATATCTCTGTCTATGTCTGATATGAGGATAAGGAATAACATGGGGGCGAGTACTGTGCCTTGTGGAACAGAGCTCTTCACTATGGCAGCCTCCGATTGAACTCTGTTGACCACTACTCTTTGTGTTCGATTTGTTAGGAAGTTGAAGATCCATCTCCCCACTTTCCCAGTTATTCCTTTAGCACGTATTTTATGGGCTATTACATCATGATTGCATTTGTCAAATGCTTTTGCAAAGTCTGTGTATATTACATCTGCATTCTGATTTTCTTCCAGTGCATCCAAGGCCATATCATAGTGATCCAATCCATGTTGCCCTGGATTGTGCAAATTTTGGGAATCCAGGTGATTTGCAATCCTGCTTCTTAGCACTCTTTCAAAGATTTTTATGATGTGGGACGTCAGAGCTATTGCTCTATAGTTCTTAGCTAATGCTTTGCTGCCACCTTTATGGAGTGGGGCTATAGTGAGTGAGCACACATATAAGAACAACATTAATGCTCACTATAGTTTATGAACACAGATAAGAACAACATTAATGTTCACAAAGATGAATAAACACAAAAAAACACCATTAATGTTCACTGTGGTGAGTAAACACATTTAATAACAGCCCCATTGTTCCCTTCAATATTAACAGTGATGTGCTGAACACTGATATGAACAATACTGGTGTTCTCAACTTTACTAATGACGGTGGAGTTGCCATCTAGTTGCTTAAAATGGCTGTATTTACAAGGGCTGATTCATAGCTCCTGGACCAGCTTCATAACTTTTATTTTGTGTTGCTTTTCCTAATTTCTGGTTTTCAGATGAGTCTAAGTCGGTCCAAGACCATCATAGTCACCCAACTCCAGACACGGAAACGTAAGTCTTACCTCAGTGTTTACTACTCGACAAATGAAACATTCACACACTCTGGCTATCATTTTTGTTAATTTTTAAATTTATTAAGTTTTTACTTGTTCTAACTGCTAACTCTCACATGTCAGTCATTAATTAATTTGCATATAACTGAACGTTCCACTTGCAAGAAATGCCTCTTCCGGTCAGCTTGACTCTTGTAGTGCTGCTGTGTTCTCAACGGAAGCTTCATTTTGATTTTAGGATATGTAAGTTTTAACTATTGTGTTGTCCTAGGTTATATCTACAGTATATACTTTTATATACATGTAACATGTGTGTGCTCTCAAGACAACTGTAAACTAATTGTATATTATGACCAAAATTATAATACTCACCCAAAGTTTAAATAAAACTTGCTGAATTACATACAATCATATTTATTTACGAATTTCTTAAACAATGACCAATTTTTCTCAGAAAAAAAATTTGGAATAATTTTGACGTAGAGATGTCTGGGGTTATGCAGTACAAGGATATATTTCACGGATGGCTGAGCTACCAAAATAAATCAAGGTTTTTGTCAGTCACTTGGTTCTGCAGCTACACATCTGGTGTAATTGTTATCATCAGCTAGCATGAACATTTAATTTCGGTTGATCCAGTTCAGACATCGCTGGTTCTCTGCCTTCCTAAAAATACTCAAGGATATAGAACTGGGTCATTTTCTCAACATGTTTGATTCAGATTCAGACAAAGCTATGTTGCATAAAAAATATATTATGCATAATTATTACAAGATCTCTGTTGATAATTCACTAATTGTACTGATTTGATTAAGTTCTACGCAGAGAATACATGTATTATAATGACTTGATAATGATCTATATATTGTTCCCAATATAAGCTGGTCTGAAAGTTGTTTTTTTCTGTTCTACCCTATGCAGGGGTGGACTTTGAAAGACGCCCTTTTTTCCAGCCATGAATTCCGTATTCCTCTCCAACTATCTACAATAGCATTCGAGAAAAAGCAAACAGAAACATCGCGCATGACGCACATGCACTGATTATTCCCGGTCCTCTGCCATCTGAATCCGGATCCCGCTTTGCAGGAGCAAGCTCACAGTCAGCACAAGAAGTAGCCTTTTCTTTCTACTCTGGTCAACCAACGCCAAGCGGCTGGGTTTAGCCCCGGCTCTTTCCTTCAATCTCTCAACCATTCCTCTCCCCCAATTCTCGTCCACTATCCAAATCTCCCTTTCACCCTTATGGGTCTAACCTAGGAGTATCCTGTTTTACCCTGTGTTTTTTCTTCAGCACTGTTTTGCTGTGTTGAACACTAAAAAACACTCTGTTGTGTTGACCATCATCATAGCTGAACTCTGCTGGGGAAAATATTGCTGACCATTGCACTGTTTGGGATGCACATTGCTGTAGCGTTGCTGCACTTAAGAAAATATTCCTGAAACACAACTCAGCTGTGATGAAAACTGCTGGAACAATGCTCTGCTTTGGTAAACATTGGGATATCTTTTTCCTAATCTAAAGGGCAAGACTTGAGTGTATCCCTAGGAAAGAGTTGATGTAACTATGGGCATGCGCAGGTGCCCTCTGGGTAAGTATATACAGACCAATCCCAATATTGGTTGGGATGCAATAACTTGGAAATGCCCTTCTGATTGTCCTTGAACTTTCAACACTAATGTATCCTACTTAGGTAAAGGTTGGTGTTATTACTGTGATGTGTAGTTGTAAACCTGCCAATATATTTTTTTGAAAATATGCAATATTTTCCTATTAAATAACCGAGGTATGCCGCTTTTGAACGGCTTCAGACTTTAAGACAGATGTCTCTTATGAATAGGATGAAACTGAAGTGGCATTGTCTGTGTACATGTAAATTTTTCAGTTTATTAATATAATTAATGTTCTTGGAAGTACAGGATTTTTTAAGATAACTTTAGATGGCTTCTCCTTGATTTTGGGTCAAGTCTCATTTTCCAATATTCTTTTTTATAAATTAATTTCCGTGCAATGACTGGAGAATGCTTCCCTCATCAGCTGTAAACCTTAAAAGCTGATTTATCTTACTTAAAGGTGGGTTTGGGTAGGTGTCAATATGCTATTTAAATGTTAGAAATTAGCAAAACTGTTATTCCGTTTTCATGCGAAAATTTGTGATTGCCTCTCCTGATCGGTCTCAGATCCTGAACATTGTTAGGCAACTGCATTAGTGTATAATGTCTCACTCTATACTGTTCTTTTTTGTGTATATTGAGGAAGAGGGGCGAAGGACCTTCAGAAATACAGAGATACACTGTTGGGATCACTCGACGACCGACACACATCTTGTTATGATACTCACAATTTATTCTCTATAATATGTTTGGGTAGTGGGACGTTATGAATAACTGGTGATAATTATTCATAGATATTATAATATTAGTCTCTGAGGGAAGCATTTGAGTGAATGGAACTTATGAAGCTCACAGCGTTAAAAGATTTTTCAAATATAAAAGATTGAAAAAAAAACTAGTCAGAATTAATCTTAATCAATTTTTGCTTTAGAGGTGGAGAAACAAAGCCAGGAACACAAGGAAACTACAAGTCGTAATAAGATGTAGCTTAGAATGATGACCAACACAGTCACTGATGCCCAGACGTCCACGTTATACAACTGATACCTGAAATTGTAAGAGATCATAAGACTAGATAGCATTTCAGCAGGAAACAGAAAAATAATAAAGACAGGAAAATAAATAAATATAATTAAGTAAAATAAGAAGTTTTAGATTAGTAAGTCACATGCTTTCAATACGACCCTTGTTAGAAATATCAGGAGCAGCAGCTTACTCAGTTAGGATGGAGGAAACCTGAAAAAAAAATTTCACCATTTTCATACGCACACATACACACACACACACACATACACACACACACACACACACACACACACACACACACATACACACACACACATACACACACACACTACACACACACACACACACACACACACACACACACACACACACACACACACACACACACACACACACACACACACACACACACACACACACACACATACACACACACACATACACACACACATATACACACACACACACACACACACACACGCATCTTCTTGGACTGCAAGAAGGCCTTTGACACAGTTCCTCACAAGAGATTAGTGCAGAAGCTAGAGCATCAGGCGCATATAACAGGAAGGGCACTGCAATGGATCAGAGAATACCTGACAGGGAGGCAACAACGAGTCATGGTACGTAATGATGTATCACAGTGGGCACCTGTGACGAGCGGGGTCCCACAGGGGTCGGTCCTAGGACCAGTGCTATTTTTGGTATATGTGAACGACATGACGGAAGAGTTAGACTCAGAAGTGTCCCTGTTTGCAGATGATGTGAAGTTAATGAGTGAGAATTAAATCTGATGAGGACCAGGCAGGACTTCAAAGAGACCTGGACAGACTGGACACCTGGTCCAGCAAATGGCTTCTCGAATTTAATCCTGCCAAATGCAAAGTCATGAAGATAGGGGAAGGGCACAGAAGACCACAGACAGAGTATAGGCTAGGTGCCAAAGACTGCAAACCTCACTCAAGGAGAAAGATCTTGGGGTGAGTATAACACCGAGCATGTCTCCGGAAGCACACATCAATCAGATAACTGCTGCAGCATATGGGCGCCTGGCAAACCTGAGAACAGCATTCCGATACCTTAGTAAGGAATCATTCAAGACACTGTACACCGTGTATGTCAGGCCCATACTGGAGTATGCAGCACCTGTTTGGAACCCGCACTTGATAAAGCACGTCAAGAAACTAGAGAAAGTACAAAGGTTTGCGACAAGGTTAGTTCCAGAGCTAAGGGGAATGTCCTATGAAGAAAGATTAAGGGAAATCGGCCTGACGACACTGGAGGACAGGAGGGTCAGGGGAGACATGATAACGACATATAAAATACTGCGTGGAATAGACAAGGTGGACAAAGACAGGATGTTCCAGGGAGGGGACACAGAAACAAGAGGCCACAATTGGAAGTTGAAGACACAAATGAGTCAGAGAGATAGTAGGAAGTATTTCTCAGTCATAGAGTTGTAAGGCAGTGGAATAGCCTAGAAAATGACGTAGTGGAGGCAGGAACCATACACAGTTTTAAGACGAGGTTTGATAAAGCTCATGGAGCGGGGAGAGAGAGGGCCTAGTAGCAACCGGTGAAGAGGCGGGGCCAGGAGCTAGGACTCGACCCCTGCAACCACAAATAGGTGAGTACAAATAGGTGAGTACACACACACACACATACACACACACACACACGCACACACACATACACACACACACATACACACACACACACACACACACACACACACACACACACATACACACACACACACACACACATACACACACACACACACATACACACACACACATACACCCACACACACACACACACACACACACATACACACACACAACAGGCCTAGTGTCTAATCGACATGTGCCTAGGACAAAATGGTAACTAACACACACACACACGCGCACACACAAACACACACACACACACACACACACACACACACACACACACACACACACACACACATGGGGTATTGAGAGAGGGAGCAGAGGCGCTATGTGTACCCCTAACAACAATATTCAATACATCTATCGAAACAGGGAGATTGCCTGAGGCATGGAAGACAGCAAATGTAGTCCCAATCTTTAAAAAAGAAGACAGACATGAAGCATTAAACTACAGACCAGTGTCACTGACATGTATAGTATGCAAAATCATGGAGAAGATTATCAGGAGAAGAGTGGTGGAACACCTAGAAAGGAATGATCTCATCAACAGCAGCCAACATGGTTTCAGGGACGGGAAATCCTGTGTCACAAACCTACTGGAGTTCTATGACATGGTGACAGCAGTAAGACAAGAGAGAGAGGGGTGGGTGGATTGCATTTTCTTGGACTGCAAGAATGCGTTTGACACAGTTCCACACAAGAGATTGGTGCAAAAACTGGGGGACCAAGCAGGATAACGGGGAAGGTACTCAATGGATCAGGGATACTTGTCAGGAAGACAGCAGCGAGTCATGGTACGTGGCGAGGTGTCGAGTGAGCACCTGTGACCACGGGGTCCCGCAGGGGTCAGTCCTAGGACCAGTGCTGTTTCTGGTATTTGTGAACGACATGACGGAAGGAATAGACTCTGGAGGTGTCCCTGTTTGCAGATACGTGAAGTGATGAGAAGAATTCACTCGATCGAAGACCGGGCTAACTACAAAGGGATCTGGACAGGCTGCAGACCTGGTCCAGCAATTGGCTGGACCGGGGCCCAAAAGGCAAAGAAGGCCGCAGACGGAGTAACAGTCTAGGGGGTCAGAGACTACAAACCTCTCTCAAGGAAAAGATTTTTGGGGTGAGTTAACACCAGCACATCCCCTGAAGGCACTAAACCAAATAATTGTGCAGCATAGGGGCGCCTAGCAAACCTCAAACAGCATTCCAATTTAAAAAGGGAATCTTTCAGGACCCTTACCCCGTGTAGTTGGGGCCCTATTGGAGTAGCGGCACCATTTTTGGAACCACACCTAGCCAACACGTGAAAAAATAGAAAAAAGGCAAAGGGTTTTGCAAAAAACTGCCCCAAACTAAGAGGTAGCCCCTCAGGAGGGGTTTAAAGGAAATCAACCTACGACACTGGAGGACAGGGAGATAGGGGGGACAAATAATACATACAAAATACGAGGGGAAATGACAAGGGGACAAAGACAGATTTTCCCAGAGATTGGACACGAAAAAGGGGGCACAGTTGGAAAGGGAAAGACACAGATGAATCACGGGGATTTGGGAAGTATTTCTTAAAGCCACAGAGTAGTCAGAAAGTAATATTTTTGGGAAAGCGATGTATGGAGGCGACCATCATATTTTTTAAAGCAGAGGTAGATAAAGTCACGGCCAGGGAGTTGCCCCTAGTAGCGATCAGTAAAGGGGCGGGGCCAGGAGCTGGGGACTCGACCCCCGCAACCCCAAACGGGTGAGTACAACTAGGTGAGTACACACACACACACACCCCTTTCCCCTCTTTACCTATATCTCCCCTTCAAACCTATCTCTCTCTCTCTTTTTCCCTCCCCCATCCCCCCTCTAACACTTTACCTCAACACCTCCCCCCCTCAACATTTTCTCCCCCTCAAACATCTGCCCCCCCCTTACTCCCCCCTCTCCCTTCCCCATCTCTCCCCCACCCCCCCCTCTCCCCCTAGCCTCTCCCCCCCTCCCCTCTCCCACTCCCCCCTTTTCCCCCTTTCCCCCCTCTCCCCCCCTCTCTCTCCCCCTTTTTGCCTTCCTTTCTCTCTCTCCCCCTCTCCCCCCCTTCTCTTCTTCTCTCCTCTTTTCTCTCCCCCTCTCTTTGCTCTTTTCTCTCTCTTTTTTCTCTCTCTCGCCCCTTTTTTTCCCCTTCTAACTCTCCCCCTCCTCCTTCCCTTCACTCCCCCTTCCCCCTCTACCTTTCCCTTCTCTCTTCCCCAAAAAAAAAAAAAAAAAAAAAAAAAATGGGGGGGGATGCAAAAACCAAAGGATCAATGAGAAGGGTTTCGGTAGGGGGGATGGATGGGGGGAGCAGGGGAAAAGGAGGGAACAAGAGGGGGAGAAAAAATTGGGAGAGTTTTCTGAAAAAAATGGAGAAAGAGCTCTCGTAAAATTTTGGAAAAAGGGGTTGGAAAAGGGAACAAAGAATTGGGGCAAAATTTGAAACGCAGAGCCAAGATAAGGGTCCTAGAATTGAGAAAAAAAAGGGCTAAGGGGTTTAAAGGGGGCAGTGACCAAGAAACACAGCAATAAAGCTGCGAGGCCGAACGGGAAAGGGAAAGGAATTAAATTTGCAAAGGGTATATCTCTGCCAAGGGGCCCAAAGGATGAAAGGGAAATACGGTTGCAGATGGGAGGTGATAGTCGAATCTGAGGCACAACCAGGCTATCAAGAGCCACTGAAAACAAGGGGAGAAATGACCAATAAGGCGGATCCAGTCACAGAGGGTGAGGCAATGGAGGAAAAAAGGGCAAAATCGTGTTTATCCTGGGTTTCAGGAGAGAGGGAAAAGGGAAACACACACGAAAGGCGCAGGAAGAAAAAAAGGGAGATTGAGAAAACATCAGGGAATAGGTAAGAGTGGACGAGATTGTAAATTTTCAAGAATAGGGGGTACTCAAGGGGAAAACCGACCAAACAAGCTGATTTTCAGACGGGAAAACCCGGGCGGAAAAAGGATCCTCCCAAAAGAAAACCACGATTGAAAAACTCGGGAAAAGGGCAAGAGGGTGTTCCCAGACAGAGCAGAACAAAATCAAACAAAAGCATGAGGGAGAGGACAAAAAAGTGAAAAGGGGCTAGGAAAATGCAAGGAGGAACCAGCAGAGGGCAGTCAGAGCAGAACAGAAAAAGCAAGGGGAAGCACACACACAAATATTTTCCGAACCATACAACCTTCACACCCTCCCAACACACACTAACCCAAAAAAAACCATACCCACACCTCCACCCAAAACCGAGCTATAAATCCCACAGTAGCCACCCGGTCTCCCACCCTCACAGGGGCCCCCCAAAACCCAGTTTGAAAGGAAACGAAGGGACGTACACAAACGCTGTGG